TCACAACATATTTAGTTGGTTGCTTTTACGACGAATCGGATATTCATTGAGCAGAAAAGATTTATGAAAACGTTAAAAAAATACCAAATAATAAAGACCAATGTTATTGTTGTTTTTTAGAACTTATTTTATGAAGAGTTAAACTAACAAATCGCTAATTAAAAGAGCATTTGACAGTTTATATAATTAGATCACGCGCTGGAAATCTTTGGTTAGCCTGTCTATGTTGCAAGGTATAGTGTTTTAAATGTTTCTGAATTTATTACATATCGGCATTTTCTCTTTGGCTACTACACCATGGGACCCTATGTTTCTTTTTTGACTTTAATTGAAAGGCACAATTTAACTAATGAGAAGAATAAGAATAAAATAACAAAGATCTTTGCATAGAGCAAGGTTTTCCAAGGACATTACTGACGATTGTTGTATATACCCGATTGGTCTTGAAAAAAAAAAGATCAAAACCATTAATTATCTAATATAAATGGCTTTTTTACTTAGAAAAAAAAGTAAACATTTGAAATTGACTTATAAATGAAAGATATATACATTTACCGTTAAATTAAATGATAAATTGTTGGCATAAAGTTAAAGACTTCATATGGCATAGCGTTTAATGTCAATAAAATTAACTTTAAAAAAAATGATAAATTGTATGTATTGGTAATTATGTTTTTAACAAATGATGCTTAATTTGGAATTCAAAAATTAATATGCAGCAACTAGCAAAATCTTTCACTATAAACAAAAAAGTTTTTTATAATATTGTGTGTGTGTGCGTGTGCAAGTTTGGAACGTAGGATTCAACATAAGAAATTGTATTAAAATAATCTTTTTAAGCTCTTTTTTTTATATGATAATTTCCTATGATTGAGGAATTTTTTTTATTCTTGACCAATAATCACAGGGATCAAAGGTAAAATCAAGCAAATAGTAATACTAATAAAATATTTAAAACATTCCTACATGGGACTAATGGAAGGGCAAATTGCCCTGCATATTCCCATTCCTATGAGAGTCTCAAGCCCTTTCCACCGACAAGATTTTTAGGACAAAACTATTCCTTATCAGTTGCAACCTAGACATTCTTTCCTAAGAAGCAACCTTCTATCAATTTTTAATTAATCACAGTTAAAGAGGAAGACATTGGATACAAGAGTGACTAGGTCTAATGAATCAATGAGCTGTCAGTCACATGGCATGCCTACTATATATTTTGCAAAAATAAAACTAGAATTAATCCACTTAAATTTAGTATTAGTTAAAAATAAGAAAAGATATAAAAATCGATTCTAAAATGGTAATTTCCTTTTTAAAAACAAGTTAAATGAAAGATTTAATAGGACTTAATCTCAACACGCGTAAATATATGAAATTAGGGACTTTTCTCTTTTGAAATTATATCAAATAATGTTATTATGGAATATAAGTGATGAATCCATGCATAATTTGGCATCATACATCTGAAACTTGAAGCATCTACGAAGCCTAATACTGATATTTCCATGTCTCATGCTAACATCATTTCCTTTGACAAGAAGTTGGAATGGCTCCTCTTCTGATGAGAAGCCGCGACTAATTAATTATTTCTTCTCTTTTTTTTTTCATTTTCACTTTTGGGTAAAAAAAAATGTTAGCATCATTCACTAATATATCATGCTAATTAAACGATGAAATTTGTCTCCAAAGAGATATCCTAAAAGAAATTTACCTAAGAAGGATACATAGAGTGAAATTTATAAGATGAGAGAATATATCATTCATCAATCTAAAAGAAGACAGAGGAATGGATATTGAAAAAAAAAATCAAGAGCTAGAACTAATTACCTGAGTAACACTGCCAAGAAAAAAGTGATAACAGGCAGGCAATTTGTTGTTGCAGCAGCTAAAGTTGCAGAGGTATAAACCAGGGCAACCCCATAGATATCCAAGCTTAAAGTTATCCTGAAATTGAAGAAAGCGAGTGAAAATTGAAACTTGAAAGTCATGTATATTGCTTTTTTATTTTCTATTGATAACTTTGAGTGTGATGGCTGCAATATGTTAATTCAACAAGCGATTTCAACTGGACATACCCGCATAAAGATAGCATAAAAATCTTGCAGAAGGTCACGAATGATAGAGGCGGCGCAGTTTTCCTTGAGTTAGAAAGAAAATAATTACTCAAGTGGATATATACATATATACTGAACTTTCAAAGAAAATTGGCCAAAAACCAGGAAAAAATTTCAACCTTAATTGAGAAATTTACCATTCAAAAAACAAGGCCAGAGGGATCAAGAAAACGGTCGCTGCAGCTTGTCTGTAAAAAACGAACACAAAATTGTTCATGCCGCCATCAAATGCAGCCTTGGAGAGCAAGAACATGCCAGCATAAATAGATTGTATGAGAATAACAGCAAGATAGGGCTTCCTTTTATCCATTGTTGAAGGGGTTTGGCACTTGAAGTGAAACAATGGAGGGATTTATATAT